AAAAAAAAAGAAAGTACTGAAGAAGTTTAGAGTTGATGGGGGGAGCATTCCCAAAATTGCTGAGTAGTGGTGACTAGATTCTGTTTGGGAAAGTTAGGCAAAGATTTGGAGAAAATGGAATTATAATGCTTACTCCGGAGTGGTTCCTAGGATTGGAGAAAGAATCTCACTCTCTCCAAATTTATGGAGGACGAAACAGATAAAGTTTAGGTCTTTTCCATGTACTGATTTGACTGAAGGGTGGGAGAAGCCTCTACCAACTCTAGCCAACAAATTTTCTTACTTTTCTCTTGTTGTCTTCCCCAGTATGGGTGGCATCCCTGCCCGGAATAGTAAAGGAGAAAGGCTCCTGCTTTATATTGGCATCATTGACATTCTGCAGTCTTACAGGTGAGGAGCATATGGATCCCAAATTAAGAGACAGTGGCGTGCAGATAGCCACTCACATTTTCTTTTAGATGGGTTGGTCACCAAGTTCTTCCCGAACAGTAAGTTGCAGTCTGGCTTCTTACCTCATTGGTTTTCCAGTGTTTTATTTCCTTGATTTTGCCTCTCTCCCTAGCTTTCATACCCCGTTATCTCCCCACATATAATGTATGCCTTCTGTGGAAAGCTGAGTCAGTCCTTGGAAGCACCAGGGTAGAATATGCCATCTGTCTGGCTCTTTGTGAAAAACCTGTGAGATGAGTCATGCTCCACATTGGGATACAGCTGGAAACACGTTCCCCTTTTCCACAGAGGAAAAACAAGAGGGTCACTGTGTTCTGTAAAAAATATTAGCCTATGGAACTAAGAGATAGTGAAGTAATAATGATGAGGGAGGAGCTTGAAATGTTAGACCTCACTTTTGTTCCTGTAAGGTTTCAGGTACTAATGAGGACTGGACAATACTTAATTTACTGATTCAGAGTATTATCCAATTTTAACTACCCATCTCCAGGTCTCCTTTTATGATAAATATTCTTGTCCCTGATTTGGCACAGAAATATAAACTACCCTTTTCCCTTGGGGGAATAATTGACTTTCCTGGAAACAATATTGGTCTCCATGCTGAGCAAGCACTGCCTGCTTTTGGAAAGACAGTATACCCCAGTGGATACGTTTGCCTAGCTTCTATCTTTTTGAGTTTTCCATTACCATTGCCCTTCCTTAAGTAGAAAACTATTAAAGTCATTCATTGAAAAACAATGTGAGTGTGATATAAAATTTCTCTTGGCAGGTTTGTTAAGAAGTTGGAGCACTCTTGGAAAGCACTGGTACATGATGGGGTGAGTAGCAATAGCTAGAGGCTCTTCTTCCCACTTCTGCCTCTGTCACTTGGGATTTGCACCCTCAATTTCTTCCATTTCTTTATTTCATTTGTGGATTTTACCCTTCTGCTAGGGTCTCAATCTAGAGGAAAATGGCCCTTGGACTAGAGGTCCTTTTGCTGGGCCTCCCTCTCTCTTAACTCTGTAGCCATCTCTTCTGCTTTGCAGGACACCGTATCGGTACATCGCCCAGGCTTCTACGCTGAACGGTTCCAGCGCTTCATGTGCAACACAGTGTTCAAGAAGATTCCCTGTAAGTGGTTTCTACCAGATGACACCCCTCCCCAATGGCTCCCTTACCCCAAGAGATCAGGGGCAGGACACTTCTGTCAGGGAGCTACCAAAGCCAGAGGCCTCTCCTTCTCTACTTACATCCCTCCAGAGCTGCTTTTCATCCTTGTGTCAGTCACTCTGTCCCAGTTGTTTCCAAGTGGCTGCTTTTCCCCGGCTCTCCCTACATATGTCGTTGAGGTGAGGGCCATTTCTGGGGAATTGGTGGGATTGCAAAAGATGTATAGCTGTGCATGTAGGATCCATGTCACAGGCTGAGATAGGCAGAGCCAGACTTTGATGTATAGAGATAGGCGAGGATATTATCAGTATTCTATTTTCCATGTGTATCCCAAGTGCCAAGGAGTTCTCAGACCTTGGAGAAATGATTTCTGCTTAGCAGGTGTCCTTAGTCTCTTCCCCCAACTTTCTTGGTTGGGAAGTACCAGGGATTTTTTTTTCCCCTCCACAAATCTGAAATGCTGCTGTCAGCAGCAAATTCCAGCTTCTTCGTATTTCCTCATCAGAGGCATCCATAGTCCCTTAATGGGGCAAAGAGGACTGAGGCATGCCAGTCTTAAGGGACATGAAAAAATCATTTCAGTCTTTTTAAAATGATTAATAAACAAGTGTAAAGTATCACAGTGCTGCGTGCATGAGTGCTGAGAAGATGTAGAGTGAAAGAGTCTTTGTCGGTTTTTATTGGAGGATACTATTAAAGAACAAGGGAATTATGTAATGGAGGACATTTTATCAGGTGGAAGCAAAGCCATCAGGGTTGCTTGTTGGAGGGGGGAGATGTGTGTATATCACCTTTCCTCTAGGTTTTCTGCTTCTTTCCAAAGTGAAGTGAACTGAAACCCCATCCTCTCAGTAGTAGTTCATAGAGCCCACCTTTGTTGACATTAACCTTTCCTCTCACTTTTCAGAAGAACAATTTCGGGTGTTTGTTGGGGATACTAGCAATTTGTATCTGTGTCTTGGTGATGGTTCCTGAGGTGGGTGCTAAGTAGGCTCTCTCTTTCCCTTTTGAAGTGAAGCCCTCTCCTTCCAAAAAGTTTCGGTCTGGCTCATCTTTCTCTCGGCGAGCAGGCCCCAGCGGCAACTCCTGCATTACTTACCAGCCATCGGTCTCTGGGGAACACAAGGCACAAGTGACAACAAAGGCGGAAGTGGAGCCAGGTCAGCGCTAGGGCTGGGGTCCCCATGTGACTGGGTACTCCCTCCCTCCTTTCCTTCTGAGCCCTTACCTTGTCTGGCCAGGACCTCTACTCCCCATTTCCATGCAGGAAAAGCCAAGTTGCTACATATTTTTCCTTGCATTTTCCCCACCACATCTTTTCCTCTCTTTTTTCCAGGCGTTCACATTGGTCGTCCTGATGTTTTACCTCAGACTCCACCTTTGGAGGAAATAAGTGAGGGCTCGCCTATTCCTGACCCCGGTTTCTCACCTGTAGTTGGAGAAACTTTGCAAATGCTAACTACAAGGTTGGTTTCTTGGTCCCTTTCCTCATGTAATCTTATCTCTCTCTTCAGGTCCTTGGAAAGCTCCATAAATTCTCTTTTTCAAGGGATCATTGTCTTTTGCTCTTCACTAACTTTGTACAGATTCATTTCCTAAGAGCCTATCTTTAGCTGTATGGAAAAGTGTGTCAACATCTTTGCATCTTTAGAGGGTGGGGGTAAGCCTCTGTGCGCAGACTTTTCTGGTATTCAAGCAAATATCCAAATTAACCCATCATCTTCTGGTGAGTTAAGTGAGAATTTTCAGTTTAGGATTTAAGACTGGAAAGATTCCTGGGTGGTAAAAACAATGAACATCAATCTTTCAAGAGTCCAAGTGTAAAGATCATGACTTAATTTTGTTACTTAGTATATTATCTATTGCATCATAATAAATTACCCCAAAACTTGGTGGCTTAAAATAACAAACTGCCTCCATTGTTTGTATCATAGTTCCATGGGTCAGGAATCCAGGCACAGCTTAGCTGGATCCTCTGGCTCAAGGTTTACCACGAGGTAGCAGTCAGGCTGTTGGCCAGGGCTACGTTCTTGTCTGAAGGCTCAAATGGGAAAGTTCACTTCTAAGCTCACTTATGTGGTTACCGGCAGGATTCAATTCAGTTCCTGTGGGTTGCCAAACTGTGAGGGCCTTAGTTCCTTGCCGGCTGCTGGTTGGGTGCTTCTCTCAGTTCTTTGCTACATGGGCCTCTCCATAGGACAGTTCAGAAAATGGCAGCTAGTTTCCCTCATAGTGAGCAAGAGATCATGTGCCTAAGCAGAAGCCATAGTCTTTCTGAAACCTAATCTCAGAATTGACATTCTGTTAACCTGTGCTGCATTCTATTCACTAAATGTAGCCCATACTCAAAAGGAAGGAATTATCCAAGGGCAGGGATCTATTGGGGGGGCAGGCATTAGGCTGGGTGTGGTGGCTCTCGCCTGTAATCCTACATTCTGGGAGGCTGAAGTGGGAGGATCGCTTGAGGTCAGGAGTTTGAGACCAGCCTGAGCAAGAGCAAGAGTAAGACATGTCTGTACTAAAAATAGAAAAATTAGCCAGGCATTTTGGCACACATCTATAGTCCCAGCTACTCAGGAGGCTCAGGCAGGAGGATTGCTTGAGCCCAAGAGTTTGGGGTTGCAGTGAGTTATGATGATGCTATTGTGCACTCTACCCGGGGCAACAGAGCAAGACTCTGTCTAAAAAAAAAGGTGGGTGGCGGGGGCATCTTAGAAACTGCCTGTCATAGTCTGCCTTCTGGCGGCCAGTGATTCACGTCTCTCTGTGCAAAATATCCAAGGTCTCCAAAAGTCTCATCCCATTATAGCGTTGGCTCAGAGTCCAGAATTTTGTTACCTAAGTTAGGTTCAGGTTTGGATGAGCTCCCTAGATATAATTCCTTAAGCACATCTCCTCATGTATAGTTCCTCTTGATTTATGAAACTAAAGAGACAAGCTGTCTGTTGCCCACATGCCCAGCATGCAGTGGTAATGGGTATATACACATTGCTTTACAAAAAGGGGAAAATAGGAGGCACAAAGAAGTCACTGATTTCGGTAGCTATTCCAAAATCGAGGAAATGTTAGAGTTTCTTTGATCGGGCCCCAGAGCAAAGGAATAATTCTCTATAGCTCTTGACTCCACTCTCTGGACTCTTGGTTTTGTCTTCTGAGTCTTCCTTTTTCATGAAAGCTAGAATGTGTTTGCAACTGAGTAGTTTTCTTAGCCTGCCTCTTTCCAGTAGAGTTTTGGATCCACTGGTTTCTTTTCATTTCACACTGTTTCTGTCCCACTTGGTCCAAGCTGGTATGTTTCTGCTGATACAAAAGATTTTGTGGAGGCTGGGCATGATGGCTCACACCTATAATCCTAACATTTTAGGAAGCTGAGGCAGAAGGATTGCTGGAGGTCAGGAGTTCACAACTAGCCTGAGCAACATAGCGAGACCCCGTCTTTACAAAAAAAAAAAAAAAAATTGAAAAATTAGCTGGGCATGGTGGCAGACATCTGTAGTCCCAGCTGCTCAGAAGGCTGAGGCAGGAGAATCACTTGAGCCTGGGATTTCCAGGTTGTAGGGAGCTTTGCTGAAAAGATTCTGTGGGCCTCCTGTGAATTTCCTTGGGATTCATACCATTAGAAAAAAGCCACGAATATAGTCACGAATATCTTCTTAATGAGCCTTAAGCTGCTTAGAGACTCTATTTTTCAGTTGAGAGGATCTGTGAAACATACCCTTAATCTTTTTGTCTGTCTTTTTTTTTTTTTTTTGGAGACAAGAGTCTCTCTCCGTTGCCGGGGCTAGAGTGCCATGGCGTCAGCCTAGCTCCCAGCAACCTCAAACTCCTGGGCTCAAGCGATCTCCTGCCTTGGCCTCTCAAAGCACTAGAATTACAGGTGTGAGCTACTATGCCTGGCCACCTAACTTTTTGTTTAATAGTCCTTCCCTTAATTCCTTAATTTGTTTCTCTTCTCTTACATTTTACTGTAAGCATCAAGAAGAAACCAGGAGGCATCATTAGGACTTTGCTTGGAAATCTCCTTAGCTAGATCACCCAATACATTAGGCACATATTCTAATTTTCACATAACTACATATGACTTTTTTTTTCTTTTGAGACAGGGTCTCACTCTGTCACCCGGGCTAGAGTGCAATGGTGTGATCATAGCTCACTACAGCCTCAAACTCCTGGGCTTAAACAATCCTCCTGTCTCAGCCTCGAGTAGCTGGGACTATAGCCATGCACCACCAAGCCTGGCTAATTTTTGTATTTTTTGTAGAGATGGGGTCTTGCTCTTGATCAGGCTGGTCTCCAACTCCTAACCTCAAGCAATCCTCTCGCCTTGGCCTCCCAAAGTGTTAGGATTATAGGCATGAGCCACTGGGCCTGGCCTTACAGATGAAATTGTTGCTAAACTTTGTGCCCCTACATTGCAAGGATTTCCTTTTCTTCAATTTCCAGTGAAGTTTTTCTCACTTTCCTTTAAGCCCTCACAGGCAATCCTCTTTAAGTCCAAAATTCTACATACTCAAAACACTAAGTTTTCACTAAAACTCACTAAAGCCATTCCCTCATTTTAGATTTTTGTTATACTAGCATCTTACTTCCAGGTATAAAAATCCTTATGATCTATTGTATACCAAATTACCCCAGAACTTAGCAACTGAAAACAATAAACATTTACTAGCTCAGTTTCTGTGGCTTGGGTGAATGCCTTTGGCTCAGGGTCTCTCAGGAGGTGTTCTAGTCAGGCTGTCAGACTGAAAGCTCACCTGGGGGAGGATCAACTTCTAAGTTCACTTATATGATTGTTGGCAGGATTCAGTTCCTTGAAGGCTGTTAGACTCAGGGCTCAGTTCCCCAGTGACTGTTGGCCAGTGGTGCTGCTTCAGTTTCTTGTCACATTGCCCCATCTATAGGGCAGCTCACAGCATAGCAGCTGACTTCCCTTAGTGTGCCCCAGAGCAAGCAAATGAGGGAACGTGTCCAGGAAGCTTTTTGTAACCTAATCTCAGAATTGACATTCCATTCCTTGTGCTGCATTCTCTTCACTAGAAGAGAATCACTAAGTTCAGTTCATACTCAAGAGGAGAGAATTACACGAGGACACAAATATCAGGAGGCAAGGATTATTGAGAATTCTTAGAGGCTGCCTACCACCCCTGGAGATTGACAAAAAGGGTACTAGGGGCTGGGCTCAGTGGCTCACGCACTTTGGGAGGCCAGGTAGAAGGATTACTTGAGGCCAGGAGTTCGAGACCATCCTGGGTAACATAGTAAGACCTAGTCTCTACAAACTATAAAAATAAAAATTAGCCAGGTGTGGTGGCGTATACCTGTAGTCCTAGCTACTCAGGAGGCTGCAGTGGGAGTGTCACTTGATTTAATGGCTGCAGTGAGCTGTGGTTGGGCCACTGCACTGCAGCCTGGGTGACAGAGCAAGACTGTGTTTCAGAAGGAAAAGGGAAAATATTTTATAGTTTTCAAGAAACTAAATAGTAATTAAAACAAAGAGCTTCTAAATCTAGTAGCTGCTTAGTCTCCTTTCTGAATCCTAAATTGATTCTGAAGTAAAATACAGAGAAGCAGAATGTAAGATTTGGCTTGAGAGGAGAATTCTTTTTTATCTTCTAATTCTTTTCCTCTCTGCCTCCTTTTTTTTTTTTTTTTTTCTTTTAGTACAACCTTGGAAAAGCTTGAAGTTGCAGAATCAGAGTTCACCCATGTGAGTGTCTGGGATGTGGGGGAGGTAAATGTTTTGAAGGGAATAAAGAGAATCACTGATGGAATGGAGCAAGAAGTTAAATCTTGCTTTTTTGAAAATTTTATGCTTTTGGTACCTTATAGTTGGAAGCTAAGGCTGAAATAGAAGAAAACTTAACTTTGCCAGCCAGGTTGAAATTAACTTTAATTTCATTCCTACTTTATCTCATACTCCACATCCTTGACTTTACACCCTTCTCCTTTTTCAGTGAGCAGAAAACCTCAGAAGACCTGGAATAAGACTCTACCATCTCTGTGATCCAAGATGTTCATCCTTGCTTCTGCAATGCTGAATTTTCTTCTTGGTCATCAAAAAAGGAGATAATGGAAGTGCTTGGAGCTCTCCATCACCTTCCTGAAGAAGAACCTCTTCTCCTTCCCCTTCCTCATGAATGGGCATCAGTGCCTTGGACAGTTGAAGACAGCAGCATCCCTTCCACTATAGAGTTGGGTGGCACGAATTTTCAACTGGCTAACCTTGGCTTCCACAACTGAATTTTTTTTCAAACCCCCGTTCTTTATGCTGGAAGTGGAGTTGCAAGACTTGACAGTTTTCTTCCCCCTCGTCTACCTTTCACCAGGAGCTGGACTCTTAGTTTCCTCAGGATGCACTAGCTGGCACATTATCCCCACTTAGTCTTTGTCTCTGGTACCTGGAAGAAGACCCCTTTAAACTTTGTAAAGGTTTTTGGCGTGGAGTATGGGTGTTTAACCACCTCCCAACCTTCTTTTTTTTTTTTTTTTTTTCCTTAAAAAAGGAAAAGAACAGACAGTATACAATTGCAAGCTAGTTTCAGATCACAACTTTTGAAGTGTTGAAGAGATGCCTATGACCTATTCATAGGGTTCCCTCAGAAGGGACCTGGTGTTTATGAAGCAGAAGTGTGGTGGTTGCCAGGAGCAGCTTCTCTTTAACAAATCCTCTCTTGATGAATTTCTTACAGGCTGAAGGAATGGAGAGAGGAGACGTGGGGTAATCTTTACCCCTTTTGTTAAAACGGTAGAGCAGTCATGGGGCTGAGAGATCAGAGCCCTTCTTAGGCAGGACCCTACTCACTGCCAGGCCATAATGATTATTACTATTTTGCAATTTGAAATATATTCTGGTGGTTTTTCTAAATTTGAAGACTTAATCAAATGAATTTTAGATCATTCTCCAAAGGAGATTTTTTTTGCTCTTCCCATCTTTTCCAGCAGTGTTCTGCTGTTCATGGAGCTAAGGTAGAAAGGGGGACACCTGTGTCTGTTTAACAGACAGTCCATATCTATGAGGCTAGACAATATTTTCTTAAATTCATGGAGAGCCAGCAGATTTTTGCCTTGGTGAGGTCATTGCTGTGTCACATGTCCTGCCCCCTGTCTTCAAGCAGGGAAGTTGGAAATGGGGGCTACATAAGCTTTCTCCTCTCCATCTCCAAGAGTTACGGTCCTCCATCTGATCCTTCCACTCTTGACAGGGGAAGAGGGGGCCTGGTGTCTCAGGCAGATTGTTGAATTCCCGTACTATCCCTTCCCCATCCCACCCTACCTTGATAGTAGGTTAGCCCATACCCCAAATAACTGTCTATATTAGACACCCCCAGCCAGTTTCTGGCTGCCTGTCTTTGCTGCCATGTTCTTTTTTACAAGAAAGAAAGAATTCTTGCTATTTTTTTTTTCATAATTTACTATTTATGATGTATTTAAGTGTTTTATTCAGGACAGAGTTCTGTAAGGGGTGGGAGGGAATATTTGAGGGAGGGCTGGGTCTTAGGGAAAGGAATGGGGAATCAACATTTTTATGAGGTGTCATTATTTGCCTCTACTTTGTATTGTTCAGAAATGGCGAATGCAATATAAGTGATAAATATCTGGTTTTAATGTATTAAACTTTAATCAGTTATTTAGATCTCTTATTCTTGATTTTTCATATACTGCCTGCTCCACCCTCCTACTCCACCACCCAGGCTCAGTTGTGTACATGTTGCCCTGAACAAAACCTGTATCCTTTCCAGTTTTCCTCCCTCCAGCTTCAGTCCATGGCTTCATTCCCTATTTTTCAGCTACCCACCATCTTAACAACTTAATCTTAACAAGTAAAAGCTGTGAGTGACTATGAAGGGAATTGCTATAGGTCTCTGGCCTAGGTTGCAGCCCAATTTAATTGAGGGATTTGGAGATCCAAAGCTCAAAGTTTACTCAGGTTTAGGAGGAAAGGAGAGAGACACTAAGAAAAGCAAGTCTGAGGTCAGTAGACCCTAGGACTCTTTCCCTTTCCTTCCCCTGACCTGGGGCTAGAGTGTCACTCTTAGAAAATCATAGTGACTGCTTCCCCCAGCTCTGTTTTCCTCTTCCATGAGGATGAGCTTAGGCTCTTTTATTTTGATAGGAAACTGGACAAAAAAGAGGGTGGAAGGAGAGCTCTTTCTAAGGCATGAAGGTGAGGAAGCTTTGGAGAGAAGCAAGTTAACTAAACATTGTTCCTTTCCATACCACTATTCTCTATCTTGTTAAGATCATTCTACAAATATTTATGTAGCAGCTGATGGGCAATGCACAGGGTAGTTGGAGGTCAAAAGAAGTAATTGTCCTTTAAGAGTTTCTAGTGTCCAGCAGGAACATACATGCATACATATACACGAAAAGAACATGTTAGATGTGATACAGCCAAGGATTTAAGCTCTCTGGAACAGTGGTACAGAACATAAAAATGGAAGGAAGTTAGAGATTACTGTGTGCTAAAAGTGTTGGAAAGTTTTACTTCAGCACAAGGACATAGAAGCATGAGAATGGTCTGTTTTGGAGAACAAAGAAGAGACCATGGTGAGACTATTGGAGTAGGTGTGGATAGAGGCAACCGTTGAAACCTTGATTGCTAGGCTGAGGAATTTTTAAACTGTAGGCAATGGGGAGCCATGAAATATTTTTGCCCCTAAGTAGGATATGATACAAAATAGTTCAGAGACAGGCCAGGCATACTGGCTAATGCCTGTAATTCCAGCACTTTGTAAGGCTGAGGCAGGAGGATCGCTTGAGATCAGGAGTTTAAGACCAGCCTGAGCAACATAGTGAAACTTCCTCTCTACAAAAAATTTAAAAATCAGCCAGGCATGGTGGTGCCTACCTGTAGTCTTAGCTACTCTGGAGGCTGGGGCAGGAGTATGGCTTGAATCCAGGAGTTCGAAGTTGTGAACGATGATCCTGCCACTGTACTCTCTGGGTGACAGCGAAACCCTGTCTCTAAAAAAAGATAATAATTCAAGGACTAATCTGTTAAAGTTCTATCAGAATGGGTAGAAAAAGCAGACTGGTTGGACTAATAATAAGGTGTAAGGTGATGTGGGTCTAGGGTGATAGTGACAACAATTGGAAAGGAAGGGAGAATATTGAGATCATAAGAGAAAAACTAGGGTAGAACAAGTAATCGGAAGAGGAATAGGCGATTTTCAAAGGTTTGAATTTGATTTGAGCCCACAGGCTCAGCCCTACTTTGGACTGGATAAGGAGAAAACTTTTTTCCCTAAAGGAATTGGATCTGAACATGTAGGCATAAATGATCTTTTCTGTTACCCTGACTTTGTCACTCCCTCTTCAATGTACTCAACAGCTGAATGAGTGGAGCAAATACATTCTTAGGATCAGAGGGTCCCTCTAGCGGTGAGCAGCAGCTAGTGCTTAACCTACAGGATGTATGCTGTAATTTATATTCAGATAGTAATGCAAGTCAGGCCTATGAGTGTAAAACTTCCTCTGAAACTAAAAGGGAAATCAAAACCGTAATATAAAGTTGGAAATCCTCACCTGGGCCAATGTTTTACTCCCAAGCATGTCAATTTTAGCTATTCTGAAAGATAATTCATCAGAGATGGAGTCTCACATTTGCCAGGTAAAATAGATTCCAGATTAAACCCTTTATGCTTTGGTTTCTCAAGGACATGAAAATCAGGTCAATATCATCTCCTCTAAAATCGTTTTTTTGTGGGCTGGGTGTGGTAGCTGACCCCTGTAATCCTAGCATTCTGGGAGGCTGAGGAAGGAGAATCACTTGAGGTTAGGAGTTCAAGACTAGCCTGAGCAAGAGCGAGACCCTGTGTCTACTGAAAATAGAAAAGCTAGCTAGGTGTGGTGGCATTCCCCTGTAGTTCCAGCTACTCGGGAGGCTGAAGCAGGAGGATCACTTGAGCCCAAGAGTTTGAGATTGCAGTGAGCTGTGATGATGCCACTGCACTCTAGCTGGGGGTGACAGTGAGATTCTGTTTCAAAAAAATAAA